CCCCAAAACCCCAAAACCCCAAAACCCCATAAGAATTAATTTAGAGTTAATGTTAAATTTGATTAATTAAAAGAATATAATAATCTTAATTGCTTTACAGAATGACTCAAATAAGTAGCAAGTCTGGAAATGATTTTAGGATAAAGTTTCAAAATTATATAAAATCGTAAGATACTTTCGGGCATCAAATTTCTTTTACATATAAGAATAGTAGTACTTTCAAGTCATTTCTAGGAGGTCTAGTAACTTTACTTTTCAGAATTGCAGTTCTTGTCTACCTTGTAACTGAATTGATAAATGTGATTTAGAGGAAGAGTACAATATCGAACTCCACGTATATTAGAAACATTGCAGAAGATTTTACTGTTTACGAGATGAATAACCTAAAATTTGATCTAGCTTTCTAAGTTCAGCTAGATGGAAGTTATGCACCTTAGGATCTAAGCAAGTATCTAGAAATAAAATTTTCAGAGATAGACTTTGAATGGGCACATGATGGAAAGTCTTATTCGTAAAATTATAGAGAAATTCCATTAATTAAATGCCCTAATGGAAGATTTAACAATGAAACTGTTTAAACTGACAACATAAAGTTAACTGAGAGCTATCTATGTCCTCAAACTATAGATTTTAAGTTTCGTGGATCATTTGTATCTAAGAAGTCTACATATATTTTACTCGGATTCAAGAAATGTCTTTAGAAGAATATGGATGCTCAGAAAAAAAATATAACATGTGCCTCTGAAGCTGAAATTAACTCAGTGTTTGATAGATTATCTGTAAATGTTGCATTAATGAATCAATTCGTGGATGTTGATGATAAGTCATCTAATCCAATAAAGACTCTGATTAAGAGTTTATACATGACTAGTAATTCGATGTTTTCAAGTAACTCAATATTCAAGATAAGTTAGAATTACGTCATTTTAAGTGATAGTTCATTTTCTAGCTAGCTTGATCAATAAAATCTCACGTACTATAGCATAAGATAAGATTCTTCATTTACATCATCTCTAATTAACTGATAAGAAAATATGGGAGTATTCCTTGCGCTTGATGAAAATGTTTTGACTACAACTAAAATTGTATACACAGTTTCTGATGCTCTCTCTACAACTGGAGGTTTCATAGGAATAATCTCTATCATTCTAAACTACTTTTTATGCTGGTTTTAAGACATAATGTTCTATCAACAAATTATTCATGATATGTTCTATGTTGAAAAGAAAAATGATATGCCCAGAGTATTAAATGAAAAAAATTAATGCAACTTGAAACTGCATCCAAGTATAGGAATAAGGTAAAATTAAGATTCTAAGAGCAAACCTCAGTTTAAGAGCAAAGAAAATGGAAATCGATATTAGACTCTACTTAATACTATTAAACAAAGAGTTAAATTCAGGTTCACATTAGGAGAATTATTTAGAGCTTTATGCTTATGTGTAAAAACAACAAGTTCGAAGAAAATAGAATAAAGGAAAAGACTATTTAAGATTGCTAGGAAAAAGATAGATAATTTATTCGAAATAGAGAGAATATTTAAAACTATGAAGACTGCTAAATTACTTAACAAAATTATTCTATCAAAGTATTAAAGAAAGCTCACTCCATTTTTCAGATCAAGTCTAGTAAGAAGTAAAATAGATTTGAGTGACATTAAAAATGTTGACTAAAAGTAGCATCTTTGTAATAAAAAAGAAGAGTTATCTGATTGGTAATCTATGTCTAAATTACAAAGGAGATAGATGAAGCAATATCTGGCTTAAGCTGTGATAGAATCTCAAAATTCCAAAATTGATTTAAGGCTAATTAAGAATATTGACTTGAATCATTAAAAGAATCATTTATCATCTTAGGATAAATAGGTCCATGAAGCTATTTTGAAGACACTGAATAAAAATTTTTATCAAAACAGCATTGTTAATTAAAATGGTAGCAATCATAATTAGGAGTATATGAGTAATATTAATACTTAAAATAAAACAGAAGTATATGATTTGAATGGGTAATATGGTTATGATTTGGTCCTACATTCTAAGATTAAAGTTAATGATTAAAGTTATTTACCTCCATCACGACATAATTAGAGAAACTCATCATAGTTTTCAATTTAAAATGAAGAAGATTTATTTGTAGAAAAGATTATTATTGATGAGATTAAACATATTGAAAGTAATATTGAAATGTCATTGATAAAAGAATATGATTCAGTTAAAAGCAAATATTACTCCCAGTTCAAGAATAATTGATATTTCTAATTTTATAAATTTAAAAATAATCAATGATTACATTCCTCCGGGGTTTTGGGGTTTTGGGG